ATTATTGCGTTTAAACTCTGACTTTGTGGCCTGGACATCGATGTTTTGAAGCTAACCAATTTTCTATTACATTCCAGAGAGATTCAGCGCTGAGAAGAAGAATTTTCTAGAACTTTTAAGTATTGTTTCGTCTACTTCCCTTGAATTGGATCTTACGAAACAATTTGTCTCAGCTCTAGATAAGGACTCTGCACCCTTAAAGTACAGTCAAGATTTCTACCATAAACTGTCTGCGTCAAAAATCGAAGCCGGTGTCATTGTCGGACCACAAATAAAGATCATAAAATCCCAAGAATTCCCCAAGAAGCTCACTGGGACGGAGAAAGCAGCGTAGAACAGCTTTGTCTTGCCTGAGTCGAAACAACTACAATAGCTTCAATAACTTAATCTACCGCAAAGAAAGTTGGTTCTCTGTGTCGCGCCAGAAGGTTTTTTTTTTCGCTTGAGTCCATCCTTCACATCTACAAATCAACCATTCGTCCTTTCATTAAATACTGTTGCCATATATGGTCTGCTGCCCCCACTCCTGATCTGGCACCTCGTCTACAGTAACTTTCTCACAGACGTGATGTGGCTTCCCTTTGTCTTTTCTACAAATATTTTCATGGCAAGTGCTCCGACGAGCTACTTTCACTGGTACCCCGACTGCATGAATTTAAACGTTCCACTAGGTTGGCATTTCGGTCCTACCCTTTCACTGTCGAAACAGTTAAATGTAACCGCCTCTTCTACTCCAACAGCTTCTTATCTCGCACTTCCCGACAGTGAAACTCCCTTCCTTTTACTTGCTTCCCTGACGGAGCAGTTACCGTGAAAGTATTTGTAGAAAAGACAGGGGGAAGCGACGGCAAATCTGTGAGAGAGGGACTGTAGACGAGATGCAAGATCAGAACCAATCACATTGCATATCCGTCCCTGGATTTTGTCGAGGACCTTAAGACGAACAGCAGGGATTCCAGACCATATATGACAACAGTATTCCATACAAAAGCGAATGGTTGACTTATAGTTTTGAAGGATGGACTCGGGCGAGAAAAACTTTCTGACGCGACAGAGAGACCCAACTTTCCTTGCAGTGGATGAAGCTATAGATTCAATGTACGTGTTCCATCTCCGGCAAGCGGACAGTGTGGAACCAATCAGGCGCAGAGTGGCGCTCTCGTGGAGTTGATCGCCAGACATTCTAATGGGAGGCACGGAGGGTTCTTTGTGGTGGGTAAAAAGAGAGCAATTTTGTTTTTGAGGCATTCCTAAGTTCTTTGAACACTTTTAAAGAGCCAGACCAACAATGGAGTATTGCTATCATGTCTGGCCTTGTAATTACACAATATTCACCTCAAATGAACCTCATATATACAACTCGTTGCTAAAGATACTGGGTAAATGGCCAGGTATTTCTATCGCTTCCAGAAGTACCCTGACACTTTTTTAATTATTTTTACAACAGCCAGATTTGACCAAAAACAGTGTATTACTACCAAATCTGTACTGGAGCTACTAAATATTCCCTTTCCAGCCTTGATAAAGTTCAAAACCTTTTATTTTTTCTTACAGTAAGGTTCACCCTATAGAACGCCCAGGGACCACTCGAGGTAGAGGGTTACGTTAATGTGTAATTTATACAAATAGGATGGGAAGATGGCGGTTAACATTCGGCTTGAACATGTTAAGATTAATAATAGGGGAAACATCCTCTTGCAGTTGTTCGCTGGAAGAAGCTGTTCGAATGGAACTTATTTCTTGCCGATGGAATACGGGGGGAATATGGCTGATTTGCTACTATGTAAGTGGCATGTCGGGTCTTGGCCGTGAAGGTAATACCTGACGGAACAAAGGAATGTCGTTACTCTTGCGGTGGGGGAAGAGATTTATTTTCCACTCTACATCCTCTTTCCCCACAGACATAACGTCTCAAACTTATCCGTGTTTCTAATAATAATTGCGTGCGTCGTTTCTTTGCTAATCTTTCCTTCACAGCTCCAGTATCAAGCTAACTGCTGCCCTCGACTCTCGGGTCAACCGATCTCTAGTGTACTTATACGTATATGAACCTCTTACTCCTCATTTTACGCCCTTACAAAAATGTCATTCGGCAACCACCTACCTTGAGTGGCGTTTGGGCCTTGTATTGTGTGAGCAGTAGTTTTAAAAACAGATCTTACTTATTATAAAACGCAGATTGTGTGTGTGTGTGTGTGCGCGTGTGTGTGTGTGTGTGTGTGTGTGTGTGTGTCTGTACGTTTATATATTAGATCGGATTTCCTACATTTCTCAACCGATTTCAACAAAACTTCACAGAACTACGTAAAATTACTTTGCGGTGGTTCTGACAGCGCCAAAAATTGGAAAAACACAATTGTTTTTGCACGAAATCAATTTGAAAACACGATTAAGAGGCATCACGAGAATGAAAGGGGGACAACTCATATCGACTTATTATAAAACCCAGGTTGTGTGTGTGTGTATGTGTGTGTGTGTGTGTGTGTGTGTTCGTTTATATATGGGATCGGATTTCCTACATTTTTCAACCGATTTCAACTAGCTTCACTTTTTGGGGGCAGGTAGTGTTTCTTATTGTCTTGCACACTTTTTTTCTTTATTTTTACATTCAGAATGCTTTAAAAATTCCCTTTACAAGACAATTGTTTATAATGAAATTCTATTCAATCAGTAGACTCATAACGATTGAAAACAATGTTTTTGTTTGAGTTTGACCAATTCGTAAAAAAAAACAAAAAAAAAATAATTAAGACATGCGTGTCCCTCAACCTTAAACAATAATCTTTGTCAATTTTATTTTTCAGTCTTTATGATAGTCGATACTTGATCTATCTCTTACTGTTACATCCCTGGGCAACGCCGGGCTCTACTGCTAGTATGATATATTTCTGAGATGAGGTATTGTAATTATTTACATTATTTATATTGTTCGGACTATTGTCTTCATCTTTATTGTCTATTTACGACGTTTCGGCCGTTGTACGCCCCGAACATCTTCAGGATTGGTCTATATTTCTGACATGACGCATTTTATTAGGTTGGTGCAAAAATAATCACGTAATAATGTCGTTTTTTGACGTTAAAAAATACGTCAAAAAACGACATTATTGCGTCATTATTTTTGCACCAACCTAATAAATATTTACATTATTTGCATTGTTTAAACTGTTGTCCTCATCTTTATTGCCATATTCACGACATTTCGGCCGTTGTACGCCCCGGCATTCTTCAGGATCTGTCTATATTTCTGACATGGGGCATTGTAACTATTTACACGATATACATTGTTCGGACTGTTGCTCTCGTCTTTATTGTCATATACACGACGTTTCGGCCGCTGTACTCCCCGGCCTTCTTCAGGATCTGTTTATATTTCTGAGATGAGGTATTTTAAGTATTTACGCTATATACATTGTTCCGACTATTGTCGTCATGTTTGTTGCCATATTCATGACGTTTCGTCCGTTGCACGCTCGGCCTTCTTCAGGTTCTCTCTATATTTCTGAGATCAGATAATATAACTATTTACACTATATACTTTGTTCGGACTGTTGTCCTTGTCTTTGTTTTCATATTCACATTTCGGCTGTTGTACGCCGCAGCCTCCTTCAGGATCTGTCTATATTTCTGAGATGAGGTATCCTGACTATACTATTTCCAGTGTTCAGACTGTTGTCCCCATCTTTATTGTCGTATCCACAACGTTTCGGCCGTTGTACGCCCCAGTCTTCTTCAGGATCTGTCTATATTTCTGAGATGAGGTATTCTGACTATTTACACTATTTACATTGTTTGGACTGCTGTCCTCATCTTTATTGTCATATTCACGACGTTTCGGTCGTTGTACGCTCGGGACTTCTTCAGGTGATATACTTTGGATTTTTCCAAGGACACCTGAACCAGTGGATAAAAGCGTTCGTTGAAGTAATCCAGTGACTTGATCCAAAGAGTTGTGAGTTCAATACCTGGCCACACCAGAGGAGGGCAACAACCTGGAGATTTGAGTTACTCAAGGGAAATAGCTGAAACTGAGATATCCAGAAAAGGCATGGCATGTGGAACTAGAACAATCAAGCCCCGTGGACGAAAGAAAGGATTCTGTTCGAAATTTCAACATATATCACCTGAAGAAGGCCAGAGCGTACAACGGCTGAAACGTCGTCAATATGACAATAAAGATGAGGACAACAGTCCGAACAACGTAAACAGATATGGGTACAGATATTTTTAAATTTGATTTTTTTTTGTCATTAAATCGGATGTAAGTGTTTATAATCTATACTTGGCGCGATAGCTCTTGAGAAATCATCGCTGTCAGTACATTTGCATGCTTGTAATATCCGCGATGCACACGGGCTATCTATTTAATAAAGTGTAAATTGAAGAGTTACTTGGATTTGGCTCAATTACTATAAAACAGACGCGTGGTTATCTCGGGTTTGATCCAATTACCGAGCTGGTAAAATACAACATTCTACCTAAAATTATTTCTTCCCTCCGTATTTCATCTCAGTGGAAAACTTGGCCTGCAAGGGTCACGCAAACATCCATTACAACGTCACATTTCACTACAAGCCCTTTACTAAATCTGACACACCAGCAATGTGATTGATTGATCAGAGACCCGACAAGATCGATCGACCTGTGAAGTCAGCGTGTCGTCGTCGCTCACAGAGACAGACGAAAGGGACGTGCGTATCAATTTTCTGACCAAGCTCTTTCTCGGTCTTCCTCTTATTTGCTTACATATCCAATATCTGGAACAGTTGACTAGTGTTAGTCTCGTGTGTTTGGCTGAGGTTTGGGCAGTTGTTGAGGGGGGTTTTGTCCTGTCCTGTCCGGACTTTGCTGGCACAGGAACCAGCCCGGTGATCGCCTGTCCCAGCCAGCCACCCACACGATGCCGTTTTATGTCGAACGTGTTTGCTTAAGAGCGTCCAACATGGATTAATGTTTGTTGCCCGGACATTATTGTATTGTCTTTATTGAATATTCGGAACGATTTTTGAAAGAGAATCACTTAAGCGAAGCCACCATGTTGGCCACCTAATGTTTGTGATGCGTAAGTACGTAGCAAACAGTGCGAGGGTAACAGAGAGAGAAGGCAAGATTGAGAGAGAGAGAGAGAGAGAGAGAGGGGGAGGGAAGAGGTAGAAAGAAGAGAGATAGAGGGGGAAATGATTGATAGATACAGACAAGGAGAGATACGGGGGAATTTCAAAACGAAAATACAGAGATATATGGCCAAAGAAAGACTGAAAAGGGCTAAAAAAAAAAGAAATATATATATATATATATATATATATATATATATATATATATATATATATATATGTATCGTTTTTAATCTTCTGATGAAGTATTGGCGGAAAAGTGTTTACTTTTAAGGGTAAAAATGCGTTTTTTTTCCTGTTCAAAACTATTTAGTCGTTCTGTGGTCCAGTGTAACCCGGATATAAGAGAGTTGTCAGGACCGGAGAAGAAGCCTCTTATATCCAGGTTTCTCTTATATCCGGGTTTGGTCTATTTTCTATACATTAACACAGGCTCTAATTTGGGACCAGAGAAAATCTCTCTTATATCCGGATTTCTCTTATATCCGGGTTACACTGTATCAGATATATATATATATATATATATATATGTATGTATGTATATATGTGTATGTATATATGTGTATATATATATATGTATGTATGTATATATGTTTATATATATATATATGTGTGTGTATGTATATATGAATGCATAAAGACAAAAGACAATGGGAAAGCTGTATTATTAGCCGAAACGTTTCGTCCAATGTCTTACCTTTATACATATTGTCATTTTTCTACAGGTTAACTCTGAGACATTTTTATATATATATATATATATATATATATATATATATATATATATATATATATATATATATATGGGGTTATAAATATAGTGACAGTCAGTACACACTCAAAGCTGAAGCTTGCATTTGGCATGAAAGTCAGACTCGTGTGAGCGGTGTGGAATAATATGTATAATTGTTAATGTTAATATATATATATATATATATATATACATATTTATTAATGGCTCTGTTATTTAGAACTTAGTACTGTTATTCTTACACCAAAGAGTATATATATGTAAGTATGTATTTCTATTTGAACGTTAACACGTACATTTATTTATATTTATCCATTTGATTATATATATATATATATATATATATATATATATATATACACACACACATATATATATATATATATATATATATATATATATGTGTGTGTGTGTATATATATTATAATAAAAAGAAAGAACAGTAAGATTCATAATCTGGTGTTCTTATCGATATTTTATTTTTACAAAACAGTACTCAATATAAAGTTACAGCGTATAAATATTTTTTTAAATCAGTTAATTTATTATATATATATATATATATATATATGATAAAATATACTTTTAAGTTATGTTATATTTATGAGTTGAAGTGCTCAGTATCAGAGGATGGAGCGTATGTAAATATCAAAGTAAACATTGAAATCAACACCCAGAGGCGAAAGTCTGTTTCATGCTAAACTCAATCGTCCGGCCATCGATTGCGTCATGGCCTGACGATTGCATTTATCATGAGGCAGACTGTCGCCTCTGGCTGTTGATTTCAATGTCTGTTTACCTCTCTGTCGCTCTCTCTCTCTATATGTATATGTGTATGTGTGTGTTGTGTGTGTGTGTGTGTAGATATATATAGATATATAGATATGTCTAAGAGAAAATAGAAAATAACAATGAAAGACATAAAAATGGGAAATTTAAAGGAGAAAAATAGAAATAAAAGACAGACATAGTATATAGATAGACACATACAGAGATAAATATGAATAGACAGATCTACATCGATATGACCAGACAGATAAATACATATATTTTAAGTAATTCGTCAAGTCTGAAAGAAACCACAACAGAATGCAGTTTCGTCAGTGCGCCTCCACTACCGAGAATTGAAACCCTGACAGTTAGGTTATCAAGCAAACATCATACCATCGTGCCGCGGTGACAAAGCGGTTGCAAATCAGACTCAATATAGCGCCGCTCGCTCACATATATATATATATATATATATATATATATATATATATATATATATATATATATATATATATATATATATATATATATATATATATATATATATATATATATATATATATATATATATATATATATATATATATATATATATATATATATATATATATATATATATAAAAAATAGTAGTCAGTTAAGGCACGTCAGCACAAATGACGGTTCCGTATAGGATGTAGGTTCGAATCCTGTCAAAGGACGAAAATTTCTCGGTCATTCAGGCCGGTAAATGTTATTTATTATAAACAGAGCATTTACTTAAATACTTGTATCTGTAAAAAAGAATGTTAAACATAAAAATGTCTTTAATAAATAAATTGTCGGACTTTGTCCATTTCTTAATATATATATGTGTGTGTGTTTTGAACAATTAAAAAATTAAAATTTTCAGACACACTGGGTTGTAGATTAATATTCTTTCGTTTTTTTTTATTATCATTTCATTTAGATTCCTCGACCAGTTTCGGCCAAACGGGCCATCATATATATATATATATATATATATATATATATATATATATATATATATATATATATGAACAGACGGAAATAGCTAGTAATGAACAAAGTGAAATAGATAGATAGGAACAAAGATATATACATATGAACAAAGACAGGGTGCGATTATATATATATTATATATATTATATTATATTATATATTTTATATTTTTATTTCGCGCATGCGCGTTGTTTGTTTTTGATTTTGTCTTCTGCATATTATAGTAGGGTCAGTTGGGCACCATCAGTGAGAAACAGAGCACCATGATGCAAATTACTCCGACAGAAATTTGGAAATAGCATACTGTACTGAGATAGATAGATATAAACATAGTGAGATATCTATCTATCTATCTATCTATCCCAGTCCGTTTCTATCTATCTATCTATCTATCTATCTATCTATCTATCTATCTATCTATCTATCTATCTATCTTACTAAGTTCATCTATTAGGATCTATCCATATATATATATATATATATATATATATATATATATATATATATATATGTGTGTGTGTGTGTGTGTGTGTGCGTGTGTGTTCTGGCTGTGCCGGATAAATTGTAGCCTAAATTATGCCAAAATGACACTGACATCTCATTTTAACAGAGATATTTACCATAAATATCCTGAAATACTATGTAAATTAAATTAATTCAACAACAGCCTCCAGATGACTTTGGAATCTCCTGCAACTCTTCTGGACGGTCTCCTTGTTTAAGTTGGTGAAGGGTGCCATAATCCTTGCTTTCAGCTCATTTGGTGTTGCAAAGAGTTTTGTTGGTCTCTTGCTTAACTCTCCCCCACACATAATAATCAAGGGCTTGCATTCTGTGCATGTTAGGTGGTCAGCTGTTAGGGATAACGTAGGCACAGAAACTGTCTGACAGCTAGGACTGGGTTCTCTTGCTTGTGTGGCATGGTGCAAAGTCCTGTTGCCAGATATAGGGTCTTGCAGCAGCTACTTTCTTGGAAACACTCCCTCCTCAAGGCACTTGATGTTGGCCTTCGTGTTGAGTTTGAGGCCCTCACCAACAAATTCAGGAGTTCTTTTTCTTATCAGAGCGATGAGTGAGTTTTGCAAAAATATTATACCACAGAATTGATATATGGGTTTAAAAATGCCGGTGCTCTCTATCTCTTTTAAAAGCGTAAAGTTAATGATATAAAATGGTGAAATCCGTTCGCTAGCAAAATTTTAAAGGTGCATTAACCTACAAATTATTCGATGAATCTTATGATCCTTGTTTTTTAAAATTATAAGCTGTATATAGAAAGACCTTATACAGATTATAATTTTTAAAACAACGATCATAATATATATATATATATATATATATATATATATATATATATATATATATATATATATATATATACAAGTGTATCAAAATAATTTTACAAAGTTGGGACCGTGTTCCTCACACCAAAACAAGGACAAAAGTCCATATAAACATATTTCTACAAATCCTTCGTTTTTGGGTTTAATGTTTACGGTAGACCCTGTTAAATGTACAATCCAAGATACAATTCGCTCACCACATTTTCAGAAAGATTCGTTGGAACAACAATAATTAAGAGGGAGAAACGGAAAAAAAAATGAAAGCAGGTGCAGGGCAGGCGGGAAATAATGAAATACGTCTAAAACAAATTTATTATTAAATAAACAAATCGGTGTAAATAAGTTCCTAGTGAGTGCAAAACAGAATTTTAGTTTTTAGTCACGATGCTTTCTGGGTGCTGATCAGGGCTTGGTCGTTAAACATTTATGGATTTTAGAAACTTCATCGATCCACTTTGTGCAGACAGAAGGAGAACTTTCTCCGTTCTCTATTGCATGGCTGGGTCGTGATTAATTTTTCTTTTGTTTTACACTCACTAGTCATTTTTAAAAATATATATATATATATATATATATATATATATATATATATATATATATATATATATATATATATATGTATATTAGTCTTGAGATGTGCTATATTTATGGGATAAAGTGCTCAATATCAGCGATAGAGCGTGTGTAAATATAAAGTGAACATTGAACATTGAAGTCAACACTTCAATATTGACTTATATATATATATATATATATATATATATATATATATATATATATATATATGATACTTCTGCTGTCATAGTCATATAAAAAAAAAAAAAAAAAAAAATTATGTAACCTCATATACATACTTAAACTTAATGTTAAAATAATCCTACATAATATAATGGATTCTTATACATTTAACTGTTCTTAAAAGAATATAGTAAAATAAAAATTAAAAAGGAAAATATTTCAAATCGTAGTTAAATAAAAAGTATTGTAAAAAAAAATCTTTAATTTTAAAAGATGACGTTGAAAATTTTTTACCGTTAACAATTTTTTTTTTTAAATTCAGACGACATCCATTCAACCGACATCAGGTTTCAGTGTAAAATACATCCTCACCCCTTACCAAAATGTAGCTAATAACTGATACAATGATACTGTCATAAGGAAAATCTAGACACCCGTGTTCAATTTGAGTAGAATATTCTGTAACCATGGAAACGTGATTTTAGCTGTGTATTTAAAACCGGTAAATTTTAAAAGTTACTCCAAAATTCGCTTGAAGATGAAATGGAACTAATGCTTTTAATTTATTTGCAAAAATAAAATTAGGGTTTTAGCTTCTATTTTTGAAACATGGTTGGAACTGTGTAGCGAAAATAACCATATTTTAAATCAATTAATTTATAATATATATATATATATATATATATATGGAGGCACGGTGTCCATTACATTCACTTACGAGCTAATACCCTTGGGAAAGATGTGAATCCTCTTTTTCTCCCTCCAGGTATGGGTAAATCGCTATAGTCTGGGTTCTATAACGTTGGATGGCAACTTCTCTAGGAGAAGGACAACACTGAATTCAAACCCCGGAGTGGACCCCCTAAGGCGATTGGGCGGCACTTTGTGCTACCTTCCGGCAACTCCTGCAGCCGCGTTGGTACCAAACTGTATTGGTTTATCTTCTCCTTTGGTCTCTTCTAGCAAGGCCGAGAGTGGGGGAACTAGGTGTTTGGGCAGCCCTAGTTCTCCATATATCCTGCTCAGGCTCGTAGCGCACCGCGCTACTCCATCGTCTCTCGAGACAGACGCATGACGACGACGATATTTCAATGAGCTGATTTATAACCCAA